CTAGAATTGACTGAATTGACAAAGCCATTAGCTAGAGTTTTTTTTTTTTTTTTTTTTTCCAACAATAATTGAAATAAGGGTTAATCCCCCCCAACCAATTCAATCACCTGTCGAATCTGACAGGAGGGCCTTTGAGGCCTTTCTTCTACTATCATTCATTATAGAATAGTACTACGGGGACCCGGTTGCATCCAGGCCGAGTTCAAGCCTCCAACGAACGAACATGCAGCCTGAGGGGCTGCACCCGACCGGGAGGTGGGAGATAATGGACAGGCCCGACAGGGGTCAGCCGGTAGATTCCGGACCAAGCTTCTTGGGTCGGCCATTCGCTGACCCTCCCCTCCGGTCCCCTCCCCCTACGAAGATCAGCTCTCTGTGCTCACGTCAATGTCGCCCGAGGGGACCAACGACTTGCCTCTACGTGGCGGGCCCCAAGCTTGCGCAGGAAGGTATATGAGGCCAATGGGGATTGAACCCAAGACGTCCTCATGCCACTTGCGCCTCTTGCCATTTTTTTTTTTTTTTTTTTTTTAATAATAACAAATCAACTTTGCATTTCGTTACGTATAGAAGTTGATGCATGCAACAGAAACAAAAACTAAAAATACAAAAACAAAAACAAAATCAAAATTCAAAATGGTCGGTCCTGAATAGTCGTAGCGGGGCAGCGCTTGCGAACGAGAAGGGAAAAATTATTAGTCACACTACACTGCGCGCCAAGCTGCAAATGATCACACGGAGTTGAGCAGAGCCAGACGAACTCAGCAGCTATCACAACACGTAACGTCATCCGAACCTCTCCAGAGTCTCCACGTTGGCTTCCTCCCTGTTCCGTGGCTATGGTGGGGCCCAGGGTTGTCCTCCAGTCCGCAAGCTATGGTGGTCCCCGCAGTCCTCCAGCTATCAGGCTGGAGCATTGGACTGTCCACTATGCTGGCTATGGTGGGAAGCCCAAACCCTAGCGTCATCCTTATCCTCTTTAAGTTGGCGTCCTCCTTGTGGGTTGTCCTCCAGTCTACTAGCCACGGCGGTTCGGACAGTCCTTCAGCTAGAAGACTGGCGCATTGAACTCCACTCTGCTAGCTATGGTGGAAAGCCTTCCAGCTCATTCGTTCTGACGGCACGCCCTCCACTCCGCTAGCTGTGGCCGAACGTATCCCTGCACTCTTAGGCGTTTCTTACGCAATTTCAGCGCCTCGGTGCGGCTGACAAAACATCCACCTCTCTCTCTCTCTCTCTCTCTCTCTCTCTCTCTCTCTCTCTCTCTCTCTCTCTCTCTCTCTCTCTCTCTCTCTCTCTCTCTCTCTC